CTCACTCCACAGTAGCACTGGTTTCACCCCATTCCAGGTAGCCACAGGACAACAATTCAACCCCATGCCAGAGCTACCTACCAAGGAACCTGAAATTCCCTCCCTTAAGGAGTGGTTAAATAATTTGCAAACCACTTGGCCAGTGATTAGACTCACCTTACAAGAGGCTAGAGCAGCTTTTTTTTTTTTTTTTTGGAACAAATTTTATTGATTTTAAAGACAAACAAACCATCATTAACCATTGAATACATAAAACCTCTTTCCATTATTAATTTTACAAGTCAAGTGAAATATTATTTTATACAGCATAATTCTGTTTTACACAATTTCGATATGGACATATAAATATCTCTTAGCAAATTTCTCATTGTTTCTCTTTTCGTATTCAATTTCATTATTATTATTATTATTTTCTATATTTATCCAGTTTATAATCATCATCTACATTTCTCTCTGACTTAATTACCATTATTCTCATCCAACATTCCTCCGAGGTTTTATTAATTCTCAAACAAACGTGAACACACAAAACACAAAAATATAAAACTTCTTTTAAGAAAGTAGTTTGGCCCCAGATTACCTCTCTTTATATGGACTTCAATTAAATTCGTGCTCATCTTATATACCATTACCTATCTTATTTACCATTCTATATCTTCTATATAACTTCTCACCGCTTTTCATTCTTCTTAATTCTATTTTATTTAATTCATTTTAATTTAAATCATTATATTTGTATTTTTTGTCCATTCTTTCCAAATTATCCATTTATCTCATTCCCTACAGTAAGAAAAAAAGGATTTCTCCTGAAATCACTGATCAGAGTATGATGCCTTTCTATCCTCCCCCTAAGTTAATATTTGAAATAACGCCTAGTACCCAATCTGATTCTGCTTAGTACATTCTACCTGCTAACCTTTAAAAAGAGAAAAAAATAATAAGTCCATACTAATTAATATAATTAGGTAATAAATCTAAATGTTGAATCTTATAACATTCCAATTATCTATTTCAAAGAACAAATGCTACAATAATAAGTTTATAGTAGAATCAAGACAATAGTCAATTAAACCTTTTAATTAAACTCAATACTTTATAAACATTCCTTTTAATATTTTGTTAGATTTTAAAATCTGTCATTACTAAACATTTCAATATTTTAGCCTTTTATTAATTCTTATAACATTCTAGTTTTCTATTTCTAATACAAATACTACAATACCATCTTATGTACCTTGCAGAATCTTCTTTTTTAAAGAAATTATACATTACCCTTTATCCCTAAAAAAAATTCCTTTTTCCCCATCTTGTTTCATACTTTTGTGGCTTTTTCCTCCTTTTTCCCTTCCTTTCTTATCCCACCTGGCCTTTTTACCCCCTCCTCTACTAATCTCCGCCTTTTTAGCTTCCCCTCTCTGTTGTATTCCTTTTTCCTTTTGCTTAATAACATTGTGTTGATTTTGCATCTTATTTTTCTCTTTCTTGAATGTTTTTTTAAGTCTTAAGTCCTTCATTTTCCTTCCTCTCTTTCTCCTTTCTCTCTTAATTAAATTTTTAGATTCATTGAAGATGGCGTCTTCTTCTTCTTCTTCTTCTTCTTCTTCTTCTTCTTCTTCTTCTTC